CGGTGCTTCACCTCATGTCATCGGAATGGAAACGCAGAATTTTCCCGTCACGAAAAATCTGGGAGCTCAGATCGAAAACAGGTTCAGAATCTCGACGACCGAACGTGGCAGCGACACCGGACTTATCAACACCGACGGACGAGAAAGCCGGCACCCATACTGGCAATGGCGAGAGTCAACGAGCGCAGACTCTGACGGACCACCGTACACAGATTGTAGATCCGTCCATGTCGCGATGTTGGTGTCGAATCTCGGTAACAAGAGCAGGAAGAAACACCAGGCCAGTTGTGCGGTGACAGTGAACGAACCGCCTGTATATTAACCACACTATCCAGCTAAAGGAGCGCTGAGAGTGGCTAAAGAGTAAACGGCGACATCTTCTCCAAAACCAACCTCAACAAGGTACGGGTTAAGCCTATAGACACTTCGATGAAAGTTAGCTATGTACAGAAAAGAGTATGGTGGCTAATACCAATACAAAATGCTAGTTTTTTCAGTATTCCTGCCACAAACAACAGGACCGCAAACTACTGAGATCGACTGGCTAAGATTCCTCAATATTTTCAATCAAAGTCGCTGTGCTTTGGCAGACCCAAAGCCATCCAACATTCCAGCAAGGTCGCATTTCATCAAGTATCGAATTTCTACGTGAGCGCTAAACACAGGCGCCTCATTTGCCTTATTGCCTTTATTAGCTTGGGAGAGTCAAATATTCGGACGCATTGATAAAGCCGCCCGTGTCGGCTCTCAAACGCGACGGACTCGGCATCTGCGGTCACGGCTCGATATCAGCTCCATGGCGATAGTAGTCGCTACTTGACAGCACCTCACTCGGCACATGCAGCAAAGGGCGTCATACTCACGTCAAAGTGGCGTCACTTGAAGCATCAAAAATATTGGGAATGTGATCTTTTTTAAATTCTTGGCATTTCTTGTCATGCGATGTCTTCATCATGGCAATAGATTCAGATTACCTGCACGTTAGCAAAAGGCATCAAGCGTCAAGTTGGGTGACGCTCGCCTCAGCAAAAATCGTCCTGCTGTCCCAACAGCGTACCGATGAAAGGCGGTCAAAATTGTGTTCTCATGACCTCTGGCAAATGTGTCCATCACGCTGGAAGTAATGCAAACATGCACAGACGCAAGTAGGAAGTATTTTTTGGACATTTCAGACTAACTGTTAGCTTTGCTGAGCAATATGAATCTATGTTACGGCTGGAAAGCAAAACAATATGTTTGCCCACGCTTTCTGGAGGCTCCCTGCTTTAGGTACGGATTCAGTGTTTTTTTTTTTTTTAGTTGACGGTCTAGTCCCCGCCCATCGCCTGAGGCGGAAACCATGATCGTTGTTGGTTGAACCATGGGTTATAAAAATGACGGATGAAAATGTGGACGGCAATGCGTTAATTTGCTCCCCACTTCTATCAAAACATGTGGGCTATATACGGGAGCATTCTACACGAATCGGGACATTTTTGTTCTTCACTGAAAGCTTTTGCATTCCATCAAAGTTTTATGCACGAAATGATAGCTCTCGGTAGAAAAATATCCTTGGGTGGAAAACATTCATAGGTGGTTATATATGGTGTCAGCATTGCCATTGTATGCCATTAATTTTTTGGATGGCAGGCTTTAAAAAAGGTCAGTGAAATTTCGACTTAAGGCCAAGTCCACCAAAAGACAAATCCATTTACAAGGTGATTTCAGGTGATGACAGTCTTAACAAGGACCGTGATATTTACGAGTAAGTTCATAGAAAAGTATATCTGTGAAGGATCGATAAAAAAAAACTCAGCAAGAATGTTCGCACCGAGATGACAGGAATCCAATTTTCACGAACCGGAAAGACATTCCTTAGCAACCAATTACCCAGAAAGTCAGTCCGCCACCTGCTGGAAGAGCTTGGGTGGGGCTCAAAGGCCACGAATAGGATTCTCAAAGGGGATGCCGGAGTGTATCCTTTCAAAACATGGACTCGCCACATCCCGCAAGGAAATGACACGGGGGCCAGAAATCGCTCTGTTCATGGCTGATTCAGCGCAGTAGCAAAAAATACGATGCATTTCTGGAATAGATATGAATGTTAAATGAAGCTCATTTTGACGTGGAAAGTGGCTTGAATTTACAGACTACTCGTTCTAGAGAACCTACGCAGCTGACATGGTAGGGCAGAGGCTGCTGCACGGCTAACAGTCACGCATGGTATAGCAGAGGCCGCTGCACGGCAACAGCCACGCATGGTATGGCAGAGGCTGCTGCGCGGCTAACAGTCACGCATGGTGTAGCAGAGACTGCTGCACTGCTGACAGTCACGCTTGTTACGCGATCGACTGTTCACGGCTCATTGGCCTGTTGTAGTTTGACCGCAGCTGCATTGTATCGACAGCCTGCATGTCCATTACCCCAGCGGGACGGCACGATCGTGGCGGAGGGAGCGGTTTGGTGACAGGCCCATTTCGATCAACATGGCTCACGAGCTGCCGTCCCGGTTCCCCGACCCTAGTCTACGGCTTCCTCCCTTTGAGGTATTTAGAGGGCAAGGTTTACCAGGCCAAGGTCTTCCAACATCCTAGGGCTGCAGAATGCTACTGCACAAGCTGCGCAGTCGACCAAGACTACACATGTTTGTGAAAATAGTCAGGCTCTACGAAAAAAAACACTTGTGCCTCTCGAGAAAACAAGTACAGGAGGGCCGCGTGCTCTAGCAGGTGATTAATTAGCATGGAGTGATAAATGCATGCCGTGCAAGAGGTGCCTTTCTGGCGATTTCTGTTCGACACTTTTGAAGTCTAGCCACGATATTCATAAGAATAACCTATCTGTCCGAAATTTCACATATCTAAGAAGTATACGATATACTCTTGCGGGCTTTTGGAAAGGTTACGTAAGCTGTCAGTGCATTTGCGGGAGGCATTATGCTTACGAACAAGACAGCACTAATACCCTTATTCCTTCTAGAATAACCAGATGAACAAACAGATGCAGTGGTATTTCAGCTACATGCCGTTATGGAAAGGAATGTCAGGAGCAATGTCAAACTTGCTACTGGTATTTGTTTCGACAGAGGCATGTAGCCGAAACATCAATACATCCGTCCCTCCATTCTCCTGGCTATGCTACGAGAAAAAAGGCTGTTACTTCCGTCATATTTTCTAAAACTCAATTATGCGTAAGAATGTCAGTGCTACGTGGTGTCCAGATACGTCAACAAATGGGACATTTCGCTAAACAACGATTCCTGCTGCATATATACTTGGTGCGACGCCACATGCAGCCTTGGATGCGCATGCATGTAATCATTGTAGGAAAATGATCAGGATCGCTCCTCCACGTTTTAGATAGAGCATTGCTATGGAAGCCTTAGTAGCCGTGCTATGCTATGCTCAACCTCTCAGAGTGTCATGACTAAGACATAAAGACTTGCTTTTGTGCAAGATTGTTGCCAATTGGTAGTGACTCTAGGGGCACACTATTGGACATTGCTTGACTTGTGGGGTTGACCTGTTCTCTGACCTGAGAAATTGCAACGTAGAAAAAGGAAAACGATGCATGTATTTGACATCGTGATAAGATCTCCACCAGCAAACATAAGCAACACTATATGTCGGCACATCGAACGACTTAACTCCTCTCCAACGCAGGTTTGCACTGGGCTGCACTCTGTGCAGTGACCAAGAGGTAATCCGCCCTCCCCCTTCCCCCCCCCCCTCTCCAATGAAGTCAACAACAAATTCTAAACTTGCCAGACATCGGAAATGTGCACAAACCATTTTTGGCCATCCAAGCTGTTGTTTTATATGTCTAGATAACACAGAAAAGCATAGTTCACAACTCCCTGAGAATCAATCATTGACCTTGAGTTGACCTGACATTGCCACCGACTTCGATACCAAGAATACATTGTCTAGATCACAGAGCACTGGACTGCGAATTCCGCATCACTATCGGTGGGACCAGCCCATTGGTTTCTAAGATAAGTGGGAGAAGAGCAGAACAGTGTGGCATCCAGTAACCGCAAGATGGCCAAGTCCTCGAAGCCAACGCCAGCCTGCAGTATATATTAAGCAACAAATGTAATATTTCCGCTGTTCTGCGTGTGCTGAGGCTGAAGAGCCCAAACACACGCAGAGCAGGCTTTGCCCGTTTGACAAGCCGCAACAACACGCTTTGCCCGTTCTCGGAGAGAATGAATTGCTTTTTTGTTTTTTGGGTAGTGGCAGTGCCTTGAAGTTCGATTGTGATATTGTGATTAATGGCTGATATTGTAATACATTAATGGATATTGATTGCTGATATATAATTGATATTGTGATGATTGCAAGCTTTTAGGGACAAAGGGACCTCACAAATGCTGTGTAGGTTCACAATTTCTGACACAAGCTCATCTTGTCTCTCATACACCACAAAGGGTTTGAAAAATGTCATCCAAGTCGGTGACGTACCTCGAGTCAGCGCCCTCTAACGCCAACAAGGTGACCCCTCCCACGACCCGCCACCTCCGGGTCACCACTCACCCGAGCCGCAGCAGGGGGATCTGCAGCACGGAGGTCATGCCGGGCCACGGCGGCGGTCAGCGGTACACTGCGCCGTCAGACCGCGCTCGGCCGACGCCACCAGCGGCCCGCCGTCTCCGGGTCCGAATCGATGGTGAGATGTGCGCGCAACGCCGGCCGTCGGCGGCGGCGGCGACGGCAGCGGCGGCGGCGGCGGCCGGCCCCGAGCGCCGCCGATGGCCGAGCGATGGCAGGAGGTGGCGGCGCCGCGGACCGTGGCGGACCGCTCGTCAGGACCGCGCGCCACCACTGCGGAGCGTGGGTGACGGGGCTCGGGCGGGGCACGGCTCGGGGAGGGGGAGGGGAGAAGCTGACTGACAGTCCTCGGTGGTTTGTCAGGTGCCATGCCGGGGGGCCCAGGCCGAACTCTGAACACCCGAAGCTCAGGGCCATGCTTGGTTACACCAAGCATAAAACACTTTTGTGCAAGACTTATATTGCACTCACCACGCGTCCTGCGCCTGATCGTCTTGGTCGAGCGACGCACCAGCATCCTTGCAATCTGAAACACCAACGTACCGGTCTCACGCAGGGGCTATTGCCTGTTCTTGCCTGGCATGAATTGATGGCACACCATGCGAACACGTCAAATACAAATACCTGTTAGCTCGCCCCAGCAGTGAAAAACACAGCCAAATCACGGATGCATCTCTATGTTTTGTGTTGGGCAATGATGGCTGGTAACCATTACGATATTCACATAGATTTCCATGTGCTCCTACCGCTTGCAAAGAGCTGCATGGCGGCTATAGCACCGTTTACGACGGAAACACGGCCATGCACGACGGGGAGATTCCTCGCATTTATGGGTGGCGAGAGGTGGCTTGCTAAACCAAGCAATACACCACCAAATACTGATCAGCTGTCTCGTTCACGTGGCACTGAAACGCAACGATTGACACATTGGCGTATTTCCTACAACACTCCCAAGAAATGACATACGCACTTAGTGGTGTAGACAGTGCACCCTTACCTTCCGCGAGTTGGTCCTGGGCCGGTGGTGACCCGAAACGTACGTCCTCCCCAACATCGTCACCAAAGCGCTCGCAGTCAGGCACAGCCTCGTGCTCAGCATCCTGCTCGTGCTCCGGGTAGCCCTCTTCCTCTGCATCATGTTCTGGATAGAGTTCGTCTGTAGGTTCAGAACTGGCCTTCACCTCTGGCTCATGCTCCGCTTCTGCGGAGGGCTCTCTGTCCGGGTCAACCTCGAGGTCAGCGTCAAGATCGGGGTCAATCTCGATGTCCGGTTCCTCCTCCTCTTCGCGCTCAGGGGCCGGGTACGAGCCCATGGTGGGCTCCAGATCTGGGATGGGTTCCGCCTCGGAGCTCAGGTAGGGGGAGGCGTCCCGCTCGAACTCAGGCTCCGGGCTGAGCTCGTAGTACTCCTCGTCCTCCTCCCAGACGGGGGCAGGAGACTCCAGAGTCCTCCTCGACCGCTCCGAGATCGGCTGTCCATCTCCGAGATCGGTGTCCTTTCTGGCGCCCTGAAAGCAGAAAACGGCGTCACATAGTCGGTTTGTATCTCAGCGAAGTCCGTGCATTCACACTTGATCCTCCCAGCCAGCAGCTGAGTTAGATGTTTCTTGGAGACCGGGTATTCATCTACAGATCTTCGAATACACGAATCCCCTGCGCGATACTCGTCCGGGTTTATGTGCTCATTCTGCAGCAATCATATGGAAGGTGGCTCAACGAGTTCCGGGCCTTACATGTGCGCTGTAGGAGATAATCAAGCGGATACAAGTACGTGGTAGCAGTTCTTCCATCATGGCAGCGTTTGAGTACATAGCTTTCAACCGAAGAAATGTCGCGGAAGTTGGAGATATTCTACTTCATCCGTATGCATTGGTTTAATACGACTTTTTTGCTGATCACACTATTTGCTCACTTTTAAGAAACAGCGAAACTTGTTTGGCTGCTCCAATCCCTTGGAGCTTCTTACGTGAGTCCATTACGCAAAAAATGAGTGATAAATGTTTTTCCAACTTAATAATCTTCTGTTCGGGGAGGATACAGCAGGCCTATGGTGAAAGCGAGATTGATTTTGTTTGATCAGTCAGTTTGACACTTGGCAGTTTGACACTTGACAGTTTGACACTTAGCAGTTTGACACTTGACTTGACACAGACACTTGATCAGTTTGACACTTAAATTCAGACCGACCCAAATGCACAATTAACTCTATTCCTTAAAAAATTGTGCAGGCGAAACGATGACACTTTGCCTCTGAAAACGCAATAAACGGGAAGCAAACAAAGCAGCATTGCTTAAAGACCCCGTCAAAAATAGCTGTAGCGTCGCAGCCTGGATTCACTACTGTTCGGCCCTAGACCAATGATCTAGCGTCGCAGCCTGGATTCACTACTGGCCGGCCCTAGACCAATGCTCTATTGTCGCAGCCTAGATTCACTACTGTTCGGCCCTAGACCAATGCTCTAGCGTCGCAGCCTGGATTCACTACTGGCCGGCCCCAGACCAATGCATGGCTGGTCTGGTTCAGAATGGTGGGGACAGAATAAACGAGGAGTATATTTAAGGTGAAAATGTGTGTTTGACGCAAGTCTTTTAGTCGCTTCACCTCATTGTGCATTTTTTTCTGGGCCTTAAAACCTACTGGTGGGGATAATGGAGGAACAGTTTGTTTTGGTTGACTCCGCTACAAATTGCGCTGTTGCTTCTTATTTCAACCTGGCGTTGTACAGCATTAACCAAACGTTGATATTCAAAGATGCTATACAGGGAGACATTTTGGAAATTGCTTCGGTCAGCAAATATGAGCGATGACAGCGCCGGCAAGCTGAAAATGCAGTACACCATTACGTGATGCTGACAGACAAAAACGCAACTAGAAAACTCACTGCGCAAAGCACCATAGTGGCATGTACTGGGCTCCTGCAAAATGTATCATTAATTTGCTCACTAGAGCATGCTGCATGCAGTTCGGAATAATATTTGCCTGGCCTTTTACGCCGGTCCTGCAGCTTCACAAACACCTAATTATTAGTATTTCGCAGACTTCAAACTTCGCTGTCTACACTACCGAAGAAGTTGAACAGAAAGGAGTTGCTGCGTATTTATGATGTGAGGGACAACGACTACAATGAAATTAAATCCAGAGCCAAAAGAATCACACCACAGCATTTTGTTCCTGCCACTGTGCCCATGTTTTCTGATAGATTCGGAGATTGAAGTTAGTATTTCGCCTCAATTTCCGTTGAAAGTCGGCATTAGTGACCTGTTTTCATGAAACGCATCGACAAAGAATACTTTTCAGCTATTCATAGCGCTGGTTAGACATTTCGTTTGGCGCTGCGGAACTGCATCAAGACTTCCACTACTCCAAGACGTCGTCAATTTCGGAAAGCGATACATGTGCTTAGAAAAATGTATCGCACTGCATGATGGGAAGATGCCAAAATTTGGGGGTAATGGTAGGCGACTGGTGACAGGCTTTGTTTTTACTAAGTGTAAACAATGGCTGTCTGCTATTGTTTGGAAATTGCACCGCGATGCCAGTAGAACGACGTTAATCTGTAGTGACAGTTATACGCGATGCTATTTATTAATTATTTGATTGATATCTTATGGCAATGCTTTTGTCTTATTGTTTATTTATTCATAAATATCATGATTGACGGAATGCTGTGCCATTAAGATAAAAATTCAGAAAAAGTATTGTTGCAAAAAGCACGACGTGATTTGTCTGAATATTTTTGGTAGTTCTGTATCATCCCGGGGCGTATTTGCAGGGGTTCTTGACTCTTCCTCCTCTGACACTTGAATCTAAATTTGTTCGACAGTGGTTCACGGAAGAAGGAAGTGGCTAAACTAACAACATCGCGTTCTCGGGTTGCATGAAGTCATTACATTTGCCGCCGTGTTGCATTCTCGTTACACTTTTTCGTGTGCTTTAGTGATTTGGTATTGATAATTCGTGTGAGGTGTAGCACGTATATTACGATTATGAGTGCTTTTTGTTGTCGCAGATAGCTCGGTGATGACACTGATGTCGCCTCAGATAGCTCGGTGATGACACCGATGTCGCCACAGATAGCTCGGTGATGACACCGATTTCGCGCAGTTAGCTCGGTGATGAAACTGATGTCGCGTTATGATAAGTGTTGTGGGACCTAGCTTACCGCCTGTCAGCTAATACGATGTGCGTTTTTCCGAAATTGTTCGATTCATCGATATGTCGCCGAGGTTGGCGCCAGTTACTGATTTATTGACCCCTGTCGGACGGCTGGAAGGAATCTATATATTTCCAGGTATCAGCTGCCCGTGATCATCCAATCATTCAGCCGCCTCTCGAATGAGGTGGGGACGGTAATAACAAGCTTTGGCTATCTTGACGTGAGTGGAGTGCTTCGATCATCAGTTGCATCTTGGAGATATTAATATTTTCGGAACAAAATTGCTTTACATATTTCCGTAAAGAGGCCGAGTTACACATGAATCAAGGTTTGGGCTAAGCGAGGCAATGTCATCATCACCAACATTATGACGGCTTTATGACCCACCCATCTGCTGAAGCAAGGGTGGGTACGGCAGGGAATCAAACCCCGTACCGCTGGTTTCTCAGGCGTGCAGCTTAAAGGGGATGTTTCACATTTGAAGATATTGAAGCAAGCATCATACATGATGAAACAAGCTCACTTATAACTATGAATATCCTTTAACTGGAATGGACTGCTCTAAACAAAGTAATTTTTCTGTTAAGTAAATATGCTCCTCGATACATCATTGTTTGCTTAGATCATCGTTCTCTGCACAACATTGATTGGGAGCCAACTGACGGAGCACCATGTTCGTGAGCACCATTTCGTCTGTGGGCACCATTTGCTTTATATCTGGAAATGGTGTTCACAGACGGCAGATATGAATGACTCGACTAATACATTTTTTCTTGGTCTTGGTCGTCGCATGGCTTATGGGATGCCAGTATTTGGATGACGTTGTCATGACGTTATGGATGTCAAGGAGACCTTGAAATACTCTCCTAGAAATACTCTCCCAGAAATGCTCTACCAGAAATACTCTCCCAGAAATACTCTCCCAGAAATACTCTCCCCATTTTCGCCCGTGGGTAACTCAGAAACTAGAGGGGCTTGGGTTTAGGAAGGGCGAGGTTGTGAACTGTACTGAAAGGTCTTCAAAATGTCTATCTTTGTTCAAAACCCCCATAGAAATGTGGAGCATTTTCCTTAACTATTTCACTGTCGGTGCCCTGCCCTACTGTGAAAACGCGTTGAATGTAGTACACCTTTAGTTCCGCATTCGTCAAAATACGAGACGACTCGTCAGCCAGCGCTCGTCAGCTTTCACGCCCGCCTGCGCACTGAGGACGTGTATATTGACATATGCTTCTAATGACACTACTCGCAAGAGGATCACCAGTTTTACCAGTGGGCCGTATTAGGAATTGTAGTTTCTTATTCAGTTGGGGGCTCCGGTCCGTAACTTGTAGAATAAAGTGTGCCAAAGACGAAGAAAAACTCACTTTGGGGTCATTTGCGAGGTAGGTTTAGTCGTTTTCCCTGCTCAGTCCCCATCCTGCATGTAAATTACTTTGCCGGACTGCGCCCCTGCTGCTCAGAAATTGCATGTCATGCCGTTTTAATCCCCAGTTATGGTCATAGCGAACTTCAGCAACATGCGACTCGACTAAGTCAATTCTGGTGACTGACACCGCTAGGTGATGGGAGAGATCGGGCGCATGGACAGACGGAAGCGGTCAGCGGGGACCATGCCTCCACGAAGACATAATTTGCATCTGAACGCTGACCCCCAACTTACGGACTCGGCTGGCTTTAAAATTAAGCACTAGATTCGCCCTTGGCCGGCAGCTTTTGGGAAAGACAAGGGCCAGTTACCAGCAGCACGCCAGGGTGTTCAATGACGTATATTATATCAAAGCTGGACAAAATGAGAGTGCGTCAAAGTTGTAAGTCTATTGGCACGATGAAGAAAAGCTTATAGCATGATTCTACAAGCATTTATTTGCTGGTGACACGACATTCCGTTCTGCTTCTGGCTATCAGGTGCCGCCTCAGATAACACGTGACTCGTCCAGTCCGAGCCACGTGATCCACGTGAGGCATCATGCCTCGGTAGTTTGTCCACCTAATCAGCGCAGCGCAGAGCCAAAGAAGCCCCGCGGGGCCGCCGCTGGTCGGTGCTATTCAGAGGCTGCTCGATTAGCTTCCATGTCGCCGCCCAGGCGGGCTTGGTTCGCGCCGGCGGATGGCAGCCGGCCGACCAGGTCCTCTGCCAGCCCACTGATTGGCTGGCGCTTCTCAGCGCTCGCCAGCCTCTTCACAGTGTTCGCGCATCATGCCGGTGCTGCTTGCTGAGCGGACTGTCGGCTGCGTAGCTGATGACAAGAAATCGGGCTGCTCGATTCGAAGGTCTCTCTCATTCTCTCATTCTTTCTCAATCTCAATCTCATTAAGAAGTACGTAAGGATGTGGCGTGTCTTTCGTGACGATGCCTGGCAATCGACCAACTTCGAGCAGGTTATGGCGTGGCGTACCATTTGAGAACCGGCCCGACAGCTTTCGGTTTTGCATGCGTGCAACCGCTCTCTGTGCTCGACCGGCGACAGGTGGCGTTTGTTGTGTTGTGTAGCGCGGCTTGAATTGCCTGCAGGCACCACAGACTGACCGTGGCGCGGCGAGTGAGCTCCGGGTCCTCCGACACGGCCCTTCCTCGGGTGCGGCCGCTCTCCAGTGGCGACCATCCGAAACGCCCCCGGAATGCCGGATATGGGCAGCAGGCGAACTGCGGGGAGCCGGGGGCATGGTCACGGCACAGGCGACACGGCGCGGCATGCGGCCGCCGACGACACGTGACGGCGCGACCGCTGGTGGTGCGGCGGCAGACAGGGAAGCAGGCGCGCTGCGTGAGACATACAGAGCCAGTCAGGAACACTCATAGACAGACGCGTGTGGCGTGGAGTCGCGTAGCGTTAACATGGCCGAAACCGTAGAAGTCTGGCCCTTATAGGGGTGCCGATAACGCAGCGTTTAGCGCGTCTGCGTCCAACACTGCGAGTCTGGAAAACCACAGGTGTAGGGTTCTGTCCTTCCAGCTGGAATGAGAGGCAGCGGATTCCATTTGGCTTCATCAGCTGAGCGCGTTGTGAAGTCCCAATGACACACGGTATGACACCTTTGCTTGCAAAGAATTGAACTGCAGCCCATAGTGCTTTGCGGGACGCATCCAAGTATTCCATGCAATTATTTGTCTTATAATTTTTTACATCACTAAGCATGGTTAACACGCGATCGGGCGAGGAAGTCAAATCGACCCCTCCCGAAGGTTTTTCCGGAATGGTTTCCGAACGGCGCAATGTAGCCGGGCCAAATTTTGTATAGCTGTAGACAATGGAATAGCGGATCGTTTGGTACCAGCAATTTAGATGTACCTTGTAAGGTTGCTGGCCTATGGCAGGTCAAAGTCAGACCATGGTTGCAGCAAAGTTAATTTCCAGGGAATCTTTCAATCTGATGCAACAACGGAATGTAAGACGAAGCCATACATCTCTGAGATGCTTTCTTAGGCAACACAACAATTGAGTGAACAAATTACATTAACCAAAGGCCAGGTAAGATGGTCAAACCAGGGTCAAATCAACCTGGTTTATTACGCTAGGGCTTGCTGTATGGGGTAGTTTTTGGTGCTCATTTCGAATTTATTGATATGAGGAACCGCATTACACATCTTCCATAGACTTCTTAGAGGTCAGAATAGGTCATTGACCTAGAGTGACCCAGGTCAACATTTTGTTTTTAGGAGCATACCGTCTAGCGTTATCTTCGTCGCTTATTCAGATGCCAAACACAGAGCAGTTTTGTATGATTTTGGTCACCATGACCTTCGAAAGGTCAAAAAAGGTCACTGAACTTAAATGGGCATGTGACCTCTTGCATAGAAACAGCTATCTAGGTTCCGGGGGCACTTTGGAGACCAACCTGGAATTTGACCTTGTTGACCTTATTTGACCCCAAAGTCATGACCTAGGAACCTCAAACTTTCAATTGGGTGAGTTCACGTACAGGTCAACATACCCTGTGAATTTGGTGTCTCTAGCTTCCTTAGTTGCCGAGATCTCAGGGGGGTCAAATTGAACCCCTACCCGAGCGATGGGTAGCTATCCGGCCACCCGGGGGCATGTTAAGAGAAGAGATGAAACACCCACAAAATCTGTGTGATGTATTGGTGTTGATCAGTAGCACAGGTACGGGAAGGCACGGGGCATGTTCCCTCTCTCCCTATTCGGTGCCGTGGGGCCCGAGGAACCTACGACTACGGGCCCGATTTGAGGGCCGCAGGACCCAAAAAGCCAGTCAGGGATCATGTTCAAGGGTTCCGGCCCGCAGGGTCACTCAAATGCCAGCCAGAGGGCCTTGCTCGCTGATCAGGGGTCCACTGAGTCGATAAGAGCCTATAGTTCGGTCAGACACCACCAGTAACGCACAGTCGGCTCCGCGGCGGCATGGCCCCAGGGGTCCATTTCCCAAGCAGGGACAAACGTGGAGCCAGCGATTTACATTGCTCGGGGCCCCACAGCGTCTAACAGAGGCCCTGTCGGCCAGTCGGCCAGAGGCAGTGTTCGAGAGGCCCGAAGAGCCTAGACGGCCCACCCGGTCTGATGATCAAGGGCCCGGTTGGAGAGTCTGGGGGCATAAAGGGCTGGTCGAAGTCTTATTCAGGGACCCTGACCTATGAAGACGGGCCCTCAGATAACGGTCATAGGGCGCTTTGTACCGATCGGGGACCCCTGAGTCGATATGGGCCTATATGTCGGTCAGGCTTCACCGTACCCATTAAGCCATAAAGTCGGGGTCAGTGTTGGGGGCCTTGTATCCGTCAGGGGCCCACAACGCCTAGCAGAGGGCCTTGTGCTCGCAAGGGCCACGAGCCGACCAAGGAAAGTGTTTGATGAGGCCCGAATAGGAGCCTGGGCGGCCCACCGCAGCCGACTATCAAAGCCCCGGTTGGAGGGCATAAGGGCCCGACGGACTGGCTGAAGATCACATAAAGAATCACTGCCCGTAGGGTCGTGACCTGAAATGTCAGTCAGAGGTTCTCTTGCACTGTTTGAGGGGCCCCTGGGACAACGCGGACGTCTAAGTCGGTCAGAGACCACGAATACCGAACAGTCAGTTTCATGTCTGTCTGAGCCCTTGAGACCCATTTCCCAAGCAGAGGCGAGGCTGGGGTCCGCGTTTTGCAATGTTCGGGGTTCCTAACACAATGAGGGGCTCCGATATCGGTTAGAAGCCAGAGCGTCGAACAGGGGTCCTGTGGCAGAAAGTGACCCCGAGTCGGGGGGTGCTTGAGAGGCTCGAAGAGGGGTCGAAGTTTCTCTCGAGACCAAATATCAACGGCCCGATGGGCAGGCTGAGGGGTCTGAAGGGCTAGCTGTTGGTTACATTAAGGACCCCGCCCGCGGGGCCATGATCTCAAATGTCGGTAAGATGATCTCTTTCACCAATATGAACCCCTGAGACGGAGCGTTCCTCTATTTCGACCAGAGGTCATGAACAACGAGCAGTCAGTTCCGTGTTGGTTTGAGCTCTTGGGGCCCATTCTCCAAGCAGGAACAAGGCCAGGTCCGCGATTTGCATCGGTCAGGCTCCTGTATCGTTCAGGGGCCCACAGTGTCTAACAGGGCGTTCTGTGTCAACATGGGGCCTCGAATCGGCTAGGGGAAGATTTGTTCAACAGGGTCGGGGACGGGAGCCCCAATGGCAGGGGGCCTCTTGCGTTGGTCGGGGCCCTCTGGCAATTGAAGGAAACAAGAACTTATGATGAGTGCTCACACTGAGGTAAAAGAAGAGTCCTGTGCCAGTCAGGGGCCCATTATCGAACGATGGACCCTCCAACCCTTTTCCAGCATCGCCTTTCAACCCTTTTCCAATTGTTTCAGTGCCGGTTCATGCGTCTGTCGGCGTTTTAGTGCCGGTTTATCGGGCCAACTGCGCTGGTCAAAACGCCTCCCGTGTCAGGGAGCGGAACAATGTGATATGATGAATCGATGATGATCGGCCAGGGGACGCCGCCCCGTGTCGCCAGAATGACGGCTGGAAGACACACCGCGGTGGGACAAAATGGCCTTTCAGTTCTTCACCTTGACAAGAATGCGTTCTGTAGTGTTGTACTCAGGGGAGCTCCTTTAACGAAAGGAAATAAGGGGTCTCATGAGCGCTGAATGGAGTGGGTCGAAAGGGGTTCAAAACGCACAAGGCCACCCCATGTTTCCCAGAGAGCGTTCATTGTTCTGCATAATCGAATAGTGAAAAAATGCCATCAAAAGGTTTGAACCTGTGTGCCGGGTGCCGATACTGTGGTTCATGCGCCTGCGTTAACCACCGCGAGTCTGGGAAACTAACGTTGCGCGGCTTAGGGAGACTGCAACGCCTAGCGTCGTGTTTTTTCTCAAATATGCGAGTGCGCATGCTCAAAACTACGTTACATAATGTGCACTATAAACCAATTCTGACTGAATGTTGCAGATATCTAAACAAACACGGCCTGGCCATGTAAATACAAATTATTGACCATTTTGATCTTCGATCTACATTCGCAGAATCCTTGCTATTTCCGTACAACCCTAAAAAAAATTGTACAAAGTTACTGAGTTCTATCGGTGTAAAATGAGTTCACTGGACCAGTATCAAATGAAGAGGCCGGACGCTTGATTCCATGCAGTCATTTCACGCGTGATTTCGTTAAAGCATTTACTATAAACTTAGGGCAGAATTGGTCTCGCCGTTGCGTTTGGCCTATATCCGAATTAAAGAAAAGAGGAAGATGTAATTTATATATATATATATATATATATATATATATATATGAAAAACGTGTCCTCAATAACAAATGGGTCATATCTGGAGATTTTTTGAGCGGGCCGTTTTACTGTCAGGGGCTCCTTGTCAACCCTGTGCCCCCTCTTGCCATGGCTCTGGCTGTACCCCTGATGCTGACACATAACCCAGCCGCGTTTCTTTGTTTTCTATTCTGATATGGTGTCTAAAAGAAAATCAATATTTGCAGGTCAGTCTTTGACCATTTAGCACCTCTTAAGCATGCTACGGAGCCTCAGTGATCCTTTAGTGCGGACTGAGCACCAAAACCAAAACGGGAAGTGGTTCATCATTCGTCGCCGCCTGATTTGTCATTCAAAACGTTCCAATACGCGCGTTAATAATGAAATGTTTCGTTTAATTGGCAGGCAGTTCAAATGTTCAAACGAAGTTTTTGTCGTCAAGAAACGAGCTCATGTGCTCATGAATAAATTATCAGGGTATATTACGAGCATATACTCGACGTTTGTGATCGGTTAAGCGCTCATGGTCAAGACCCACGGGTGACCAGGGTAAAATGACTCAAAATTAGCGCTTAAAATCCTAAGATGCATGACAGACAGAAAATCTCTCAAATCTGTGCAGACCGCCATTAACACGTGCTTGGGTGAGAGGGGCCAAATTGACCCCCTTCGAGCTTTTCTCTAGAATGGTTTCCGAACCGCGCGGCGTGGCCGCGCCAAATTTTGCATAGTTGTAGACAACTGATTAGCGGATCGTGTGATACCAAAAAATCAGATGCATCTTTTAAGCCCGATGACCTGCGGCAGGTCAAAGTCAAGCCATGGATTCAGTGAAGTAAATTTCAAAGGAATCGTTCAATCTGATGGAGCAGCGGAGTGTTAGATGAAACCATACATGTCTGGGATAATTTCTTAAGCAACAAAGCAATTGAACGACCAAATTCCATTGACCTAAGGTCAGACATGAAGGGCTGACCAAGGTCAAAACCAACCTGTTTTGTTACTGAAGCTTCTGGTGCTCATTTCGAATTTATTGATAACATGAACCGCAATTGGACATCTTCCATAGACTCGTTATAAGTAAGAATAATTCGCTGACCTAAAATGATCCAGGTCAACATTTCGTTTTTAGGAATATACCGCTTAGCTTAATCTTTGTCGCGAGGTGTAATATGCGCAAACTTCGTGGGCGGATCCAGGAGCAGTCAAGGAGAAGTTCGGTAAATTGACGGTCCACCGGAGCGGGACTAAGCGACTTATGAAAATAATGAGATATGAGTAAAAGACGTGGGCTCGAGCTGGCCGGTTGGCTGGGTTGCTCTCGACCTCGGACGGTGCGCCGCACCTGGTCGGCCGCTTCTGTTTGCCTTACAACCCGCACGGCCACTTGTGTTTGACTTGTACCGCTCGCCTCAGGCCTTTGCCCCTTTCCCGCGACTTGCCGCCGCAGTATATGAGCATACCGGAAGCATGTCTTCTGCTCTGCTTCTCCATCGCTCGCACTAACAGTGTGACGCGATAGAGAAGCACTAACAGCACGACGTGTTCTGCGTGCAGTAGGGCAATACCTTCTTCAGTGATGGTGTGACTGCTGGAGCGGGTGCTGATCGCTGAAACGCTGACATTGATGCGTGATTGAATCTGGCCACAGCGCATCTTTCACTTACCCTATCTTCCCTGACGGCTTGGACAAGAAATTTCCTTGCTTACTGAATTCCCAGTCCTTTATCTCCCTCGTTGGTAGTGTGGTGCGATTCAATTTGCGTGTTTCCTTCGGTCTGTCTGAATAAGCGGCTTCACAGGCCGTCCAGTAGGGATTTTTATCCAAGTTCTTGAATAAGAAGTTTCTTAGATCCTCCGCCATCTTGTATTGGACGGATTACTTTACACTCCCCTGAACGTGTGGGTTCTTCTCAACAACATTGTCGCACTGAATGCCATGGTTCGTCGGCTGTTGAATTAGAGTTCCCCAGCTCACCTGCCTTCCATTAAAGGGAATATGCCAACTTTTGTATTCACCTATTGTTAAATCAGACGTGCACGATTTGATCAGCAATACCGATTTTCTCGAAATCCTCCTCGATAGGTCAGCATTTCAATTTCAAGCAGCTGCTCCGCCGGAAAAATTACATTAGACTCCTTAATCACCACTATGAAAGTAATATTTTTCATTTTTTTACTTTTCTTACCGTGGGTGTTTTGTAATATGTGCAATACACTAATCTGTGAAAATGCTTGAGAAATAAGCGCTACTAAAGCCTGAAAAACTCCTTTTAGGTGAAAAACATGCGAATATGAAGCTATCATTACGGGAATTTTACGAAATGCTCTATCGCGGCTTTTATCGCTCTCCTATGCGTTTACTACAGTGCACTGTAGCAAACCATATTCGGGTGCGTAGCTCACAAACTAGAGGGGTTTAGCTCTTAAGAAGGACAGAGCTGTGAGCTCCACCGAAAGGCCTTTAAGATGCCCATTTTTACTTCAAAACCCCATACAAATGTAGGACACTCCCCTTAACGTTAGGCGATGACGTCACAAAGTCGCACGGGCCTGCATGGCGGCGCTGTATAGCAACGTCGCTGGGCAGGCAGCGGTCAAGCAGAAATGTCGTGGACGGTCTTGTTTATTATTGTGCAGTATAGTATCAGGGTTGTATTGCGATATGGCTACGGTGCGTGTTTTTGTGCCGCGGGTGGGAGAAATTCGAAGTGGTGTGTGGGTGTTGAGTCAAAGTCAGCATCGGAGGCAGTTTTTTGGCAGCAAGATGCCGCCCTGTGCATTGGCCTCCCGTAAGAACTTTAAACGGTACAAGAAAGGCATTTCATTTTTCACGTTCCCCAAAGCACAATCCAACTACCCTGAAAACATGGATGCACCTTCGTCCTAGGACTGATGTGGAAAATGCGGTGATCTGCTCCGACCATTTTTAAGACAATGGCTATGACTCTAGCTATCTGGTCAGGGCCAATCTCGTGCCCAACGTGGAATGACGCCTGCAGCCGGGTACAGTTCCGTCGATGCAGCTGGACATCGCCGGCACACCAAAGTAAGTATGCATGTGCTTAAAATGGGAAATTTCCGGCCGTTTTATTAAATGTTCCTTTTAAACTAAGTTCGCCGCCATCAATGCATGCATCATCTATTCCGCTCTGTGCCGTGTGCGGACTACAATACAAGACTCAAATGAGAGTTTCGGACATGGATAAGACAGTAGTATTAGCCTTATTCCTTGGAGAAAAACCAGCAGAATGGAGAAATAGTTGGGTTGATATTTCGGCAACATGCCTTTGTCGAAGCAATAGCTTAAGTGATAGAGTGATTGTGACTTCGATAAAGGCATGTTGCCGCAATATTAACCCAACCACATATTTATTCTCTTGATTTTTATCCAAGGAATAAGGCCAATACTACCGTCTCATCTATGTGAATAATGTTCCTTCGCTAATGCACTGAACAGCGTACGAGA